AGAAAATTCCTCTGGTACCCTCATGGCCAGGTTATCAACAGATCCAAAACAGCTGCAAGAGCTGTTTGGCGTCAATGGCGTCTTCCCACTTATTTCGATTTTTAGTCTCATGGGATGCGTTGCTATCTCATTTAGTTTCGGCTGGAAGTTAGCTGCAGTAGCTTTCTTTGCTGCTTTGCCCTTTATCTTGCTGGCTTCATACTTTCGAATTCAATATGAAGTCCAATTTGAGGGCATGAATGCAGAGGTATACGCTGAAAGCTCCAAGTTCGCTACGGAGGCCATTCGTGCCTTTCGAACGGTTACTTCACTCACGATGGAAGACACCATCCTGCAACGATACTCTAATCTGCTGTCTCAACAGAGGACCAGGGCTATTCGCAAGGCTTGGCTTGCGACGCTCGTCGTTGCGCTCTCTGATAGCATCGACCTCTGCGCTATGGCACTTACCTTCTGGTCCGTAACACTATATGCTGCTTGCCCCTTTATGCCTTGCTCTCGAATATTTCAGCTAATGTAGGCAACCCGGTCTCAGGTATGGTGGGCAGCTTCTTGCCTCTCGCGAATATGACCCAGTGGTGTTCTTTGTGGTCTACATTGCTATTATCCAAGGGGGGCAGTCGGCTGGTCAGTTTCTTAGCTTCGGTCCTAATATGGCACAGACAACAGCATCTGCACGACGCATATTAGAAACAAGATCTTCATTAAATGGGCGAGGCAATGACCAGACCCACCGTCCACAATCGATATCTGGTGTTCCGCTCTTTCACCAGGCCGATGTGTGCTGCCGAGATCTCACCTTCCAGTATCCATCTCGCGGTGGGCCTGTCTTTACAGGGATGAATTTCAGCATCCGCAGTGGCCAGTACGTTGCAATTGTTGGCCCATCTGGATGCGGCAAATCAACCATCGTCTCTCTCCTGGAGCGGTTTTACGACCCTACCAAAGGTAGCATAGAATTTGCAGGCCAGGATATCCGACACTACCCACTTGCATCCTATCGTCGAGCATTATCTCTGGTCTCTCAAGAACCCAAGCTCTTCGAAGGCACGATTCGGGAAAACCTTCTCTTGGGCCTCGAACCAGGGGATGATGAAGAGCTTGATACATCGAGGGAAGCGCGGATGATAGAGGCGTGCAAAGATGCCGAACTTCATGACTTTATTATATCTCTTCCCGAGGGCTACTCCACCTCCCTGGGTATTAACGCGCAATTATCTCTCAGCGGTGGTCAAAAGCAGCGACTCTGTATTGCCCGTGCACTAATGCGTAGACCACGACTACTCCTTCTAGACGAAGCAACGTCCAGTCTTGATTCGCAGTCTGAGAGGCTTATACAAAAGGCACTAGAGCGACTGGCGGAGAGGAAAACGATGACGATAATTGCGGTTGCCCACCGACTGGCCACTATTCAGAATGCTGACTTGATACTTGTCTGCGGAGAGGGTGAGCCTGGCAGCGGTTCGGTTATTATTGAACGTGGTACTCATACTGAACTACTACAGAGAAGGGGTGTATACTGGCAGATGGTAAGTTCCCTTTGTCACGACTTATTACTTTCATCTCTGGCTCAAGGCATAAGTTAATATTTATCATCATTCAGTGCCAGGTGCAAGCTCTGGATAGCCATACGAGTTAGTATCAATACACATGGGACGATACAACAGACCGACAGCAGGTAGCTATCCATCCTAAAAGAGCACCTTTGCGCAAATACATGGCAAGGTCTGCTTTGGGCGACCCTGGATATTTATATTCCACGCTGCAAACGTGCGAGAGTATGGGTTATCCGTCATCCAATGTTAAAAATGAATTGTTTCCGCAGAAAACGTTAAACTTACAAAGGGCACATATAAATAGTTACTTTTAATAATAGGTGCCTTGATCAGAGACCTTCGTCAAGGGTGGGGCTTCTATATATACTACCTTCGGACAACTCTAGCGCCCAAGCGGGACGAACCTTGCCGCATTAACCTCAGATACTCTCACCATACCTGCAACAGTGAGCTTATGGGTAAGGCTCTCACTTCTTCAAAGGCTTTACGGTTAGCGGAATAGTCAATTGCCCTATAGCTGTCTATCCACGGCATTAAAGTACACCTATAAGAGTGGATGCTACATTCCTAGTAGAACGTGGCGCCAAAAATAAACTACAGAGTAGATAGAGAAGAGTCCCCATGAACAGCGAAGTTTCTGGATTATCCAGACAGCCTCTAGCTTCATATTATCCCGTAAATGCAGTCTATTGAGGCATTACTACAGCTACTTGCTGTTTGACACATATTCAAGCCGGGCTTGCTACAACTGACACTGTGAATCGCATTTCTCCTCTTCCTTCTCTATCTTGTGATGTATTTTGGAGCTTCTGGGTGCTACTGCGATCATGATATACAGCAATGTTCACTTATCTATCCTTGGCTATTTGTTTCCTTCCAGCTGTTGGCCAATATTGTTCCACCAATGATGTTGGATCTTCCCTAGGGTTGATATGTATTTAGGCTATATGCTGTGTTTCGGCCTGGTCTAATCCGACTCCCGAGATCGGCATTACTCCACGCTTCAATATGGAGAAAGTCTGTCCCCGCAAATGGACGAGTTCGGGTTACAGTGCTAAGCACCCCTAGATTATTAAAATAAGTCATTATGTACTGAATCAACATTCGCCAAGACGCTGCTAGATGCCACCACTGAGTGAAGTCTTAGCAAACCTGAAATATGCTACTCTTTCATGTCATTCTGGGAGCTCTCACGCTGGTCCTCTCTCGGACTGTACCTGTAGCAATAGCAGAGAAACCAACGTTCAATCGCGAGAATGTCGTCCGTCGGTATAACCCCATACGCACGAACTTGTCGACCACAACTCCCATACAGGTCGGCAACGGCAATTTCGCATTTGGAGCCGACATTACAGGATTACAGACTTTGCTTCCCTTCAACATACTCTCTTCCTGGTGTTGGTGCAACGACTCTCTGCCGATCACACCCAACCAGACAGAGCCATCAGACTTTACAGGCATGGACTGGTGGACACATGACCGTCTTGTGAATTACGATATACAGAACCCGGCCGAGCCGGAGATTTCGCAGTGGCTAGTTGCTAATCCACATCGGGTCAACCTTGGCCGGGTCGGGTTTCTATACAAAGGAAAGAATATATCCATTGATGATGATGTCACTGGAATAATGCAGAGTCTTGATCTGTATAGCGGCATTCTGACTTCGGAGTTTACCCTGCATGGGCAAAAGGTTTCGGTTACGACAGTTGGAGACCCATCTTCTGATATCATTGCTGTTGATGTGCAATCATCGCTGTTGAGGGATGGGTCCTTGGGTGTATTCTTTGACTACCCATTGACCACAGGAGTCAATAAATTCGAGGCTCCCTTTGTAGGTAACTGGTCTGCGGTGGCAGATCATACTACTGCCTTGAATAATATTACAGCGCATATAGCTTCGATTAGACACTCATTGGGGGGCACGACATACTATAACACCATTGAATGGGAACAGACGGGTCATACAACAGGCCCTTTTCATGGGACACACCGATACCTACTCCAGCCCGCGGGAAACACGTCTAGGTTCACCTTTAGTACAGAGTTTGCCGCATCCACAAAAACGGGGATCAAGCCATTCGCAGCTGTCAAGGAAGCCTCCACACACTGGTGGGCTCAATACTGGGAGTCTGGCTCATTTGTAGACCTGACTGAGTCTGGATCTTCAGATGCAGAGGAACTGCAGAGACGTATTATTCTCTCTCAGTATCTGCTTGCCGTGAATAGTGCCGGGAAAGATCCTCCCCAAGAGTCCGGTCTGCAAAACAATGGCTGGTACGGGAAATTCCACCTTGAAATGGTATTCTGGCATCTGGGCCACTGGGCGCGATGGAATAAATGGGATATGTTAGAGCGTAGCCTGGGTGTGTATTCCCGGTTTCTCCCCTCGTCTCTTGAACGCGCGGAAAGGCAGGGATACGTTGGTGCGCGACTAGGAAAGATGAGTGACCCATCCGGAGCATCGGCTCCTGGTTCACAAAATGCCTTACTTATCTGGCAGCAACCACATCCGATGTATTTTGCTGAGCTGGAGTATCGCTCGTCGCCGAATGTTGAAACCCTGAACAAATGGGATCATATCCTGGATGAGCTCGCGACGTGGATGGTTTCTTATGCGTGGTGGAACGTGTCCACACAAGTATACGACCTTGGTCCACCGATGTATCCGTCGTCGGAGAATACAAGTCCCAATTCAACATACAACCCGACTTTCGAATTGGCCTATTGGCGGTTTGGTCTGAAGATTGCCTCGGACTGGAAAACTCGGCAGGAAATTCCTGTACCGGAATCTTGGTCTCGAGTGCTGAACAATCTTGCACCATTGCCCATAGTTCATGGTGCATATTCCATCTGTGCTGATCTGCCGGATATGTGGAATAAGAGCAGCTATACTTCTGACCATCCCAGCCAGATCGCCGTCTATGGACTTTTGCCGCCTACCGCAGGTGTAGATCCATCGACTGTCAATGCTACCATGAATCTGGTTGCCCAAACATGGAATTTCACAGCCTCTTATGGCTGGGACTTCCCGATGCTAGCGATGACATCGCTCCGTTTGGGCAATGTAGACCAGGCTATTTCCTATTTGCTCCACCCGAACTTCCAATTTGATGATGTGGGTAACCCAGTGGGAACAGTTGTCCCGACGCCTTATTTCCCAGGTTCTTCAGCGTTTCTCCTTGCCATTGCAATGATGGCCGGAGGATGGGATGGTCAGGAGGGAATACATTTTCCAGAGAACTGGGGGGCGAGGGTTGATGGGTTTTCGGCAGGGATATAAAAAGAGTTAAATACCTATGTTGTTGTTTTATATCATGAACTTGTTGTCCCTTCAATAAATATCACCAGTACTGGAGCCTCCGAGTGCGTGGATATAAGATACAATATCTAAGACCGTAAATAACCATTCATCGTTCAGGGCAATACGCGCAATGATAATTTATTCCGAATTTAACCAGAGCTAATTTTTATACAAAGTCTATCCATTTCACTAGGGAGTCCATCTTGTTCACAAAGGTAGGGTTGCCCTTCCAATCATTTAGCAACTGCACCCACACGCCTTACAGCCCGTTTTAGCACAGTCAGAATCTCCCACCCCAGGTATACAATCTTCAGCTGTAGTACAAGATGTCCAATCGCCGGTTCCTCCCTTATGGGCCAACCAGCACCATTGTCCATTACCCCCACATCGTTGCCAACACCATCTGTCCTTCGAGCAACCGTATGGAGACCGAGTCCAGCATTTCTGCGCAGCGAATACGTTGCCTAATTCCTTAGCAGCTGGGGTATCGTTGGCCACCTCGTCGCCCCTAGGAACAACCCGAGCAAGAACGGTGCTGGGTATAGCAGTAACAAGGAGGAGGCTGATGTTGAGCTTCATTCTCGCGAGTCTATCGCTATCAGTAAGAGGCATTGTAATGTTTTAGGGTAACACATACATAAGCTTCGAGCTCAATCTATGGCGGAAATGAGAGGTGTGGGTTTGCCTTTTCAGGAGTAAATGTTCCGAAGAGATAGGGAGGATTATTCCAAGTATAATGGGGAGGGTAACCCCCTATATATTCTTTCTATAGCCTGCCTACAAGGATCCAGCCCTTTTCCACAGTATTTTACAGACTTAGGCTAGGTGCTAAATTATTCAACTAAATTGACTATGAACTTTGGGATCCGATTGGAAGACCTCGCTTATAGCAGGCCTTATACATTTTAGATGGTCTCGTAGGTTGCATTAACTGGACACTAGCTTTGATAAAGTACATGTTTTAACATGGATATGACGGGTCGGGCGGCGCAGTAATGAAGCCAGCAGCAAAAGCACCGGAAGAGGTAACATTAATACATAGCTGAAAACCGGGTCTCTATACGGAGAGTGTGAGCGATAGATATTATCCCGACATTGCACTCAATTCCGCGCAATCTAGCCGGCGCTTCCTTTCGGGAAACAACTGGAAATTAACATTTCCAATGTTTATTTAGGGTTATATGTATCACAAAGGATTGTGATTGCGTAGGATATTCGTTTCCCATTTCGGATGAGAAGTAGCTCGGGACGTAACCTTCATTCATAAATGGTATCAGTATTATCGCAGGGTCAGCACTCTATCTCTAGAGGTCTAGGGGCCTCAGGCACTGCGTAGCATACCTTGTGGCACTGGGAGGATGCTTAGTCCCTGCATGCTTCAGCCTCATGGACTTTTACGGAAGACCCTTGAAAACTTATGTGATTTGAGAATGGAACATTTACTTTAGACGTAAGAAGCTATGAACCGGAAGTGTTTCTATGGGTAAAACTATCTATTGAGGGCCATGATATAAGATCCAAACTATGTGTTGGATATGGGGATTGGCATGATTCACAAACCTATAGGCATCAAAGGCAGCAGCACATTCGCCATGTGCTACCATAGTGAGATGGTGGCGATGCCCCAGGCATGGTGGGTTACATCACTGGAAGTACCCTGTTCAAAAGTGGGCCTGGATATCCTTGCCATAGCCTTCTATTTGAGCAATTCCACTATCCATATCTACGTCGGGTGATTCAACGGAGAGCCCGTATTGGTTTTCGGACTGACCTGCTCGAGCACGCCCTAGCTATCGAAAATAAGCCGGACTACTGATCTAGCCAATTCTTAATCAGGGTCAAGAGGTGGTTGGATACAGTACCCCGTATAGTCATATTAACGCACTGAGTTAGCGCTAAATTGTAAATCCAATTTTTTACGATGAACGCCCTGTATCCACGAGCCCCCTCCCGAGGAAATATATTGAGTTTGGGTTTCACTTCACAACGTAAATTCCATACATGGAAACTAAATTTACTTAGCACAAATACCTGGTTAGGCAGTTGTCGAATCACGTGGTGACATAGGGCAAAGTGGTAGATGTCTACCCACACAGGAGAACCTAGATCACAGGTACCACCATCCGAGGAGTTTGGGCCAAGAGTTATAAGAAACAAGTCCTATAATATCCTCAGGATAGGTAATTGTAGATATTTACACCCTTACTTTATGGAAATTGCGATCGGCGATGCCCCTGTTAAATGAGGTGTTGTAGCCCTAGGTGTGAGACTAGCCTAATGATCCTTGTAGGGTCCACCGTCCACAGTTCTGTACGGATAGCCGGCGGCCATGTGACTTTACAAAGAACAGGATTGAGCTTCAAATCCTTTGGTACTGTATAAAACGAGACCACCCACTATCCTGGGACAAATTTCCTCCTCGCGGTACTAGAGGGTACCAGATATTCTCAAGGCATGGAGTTGATGACATGCTCGAATATAGCGTGCTAATGCTATGTAGACGGCCATAAGAACAAGGTTACTGCTGCGTAAAGGATTTACAATATCGCCTATATAAAATACGAGAGGGACCAAACCATGAGGGAGCCGCACTTTACAATTTTTCTAGAAAGTCGCCAAGGACAAAACGTACTGAGACCGGATCCCTCGGAAAAGGCTGCTTGTGGGACCTGGCGACTCAAACCCCAAAGGTGTTTCCATACGGCGAAAATGCTCCGAGTATCCCCGCGCATATCTTGGCTTTCTTCCTCCGGGCTTGGCCACGATGGAGGAAGGATAAGGCTATATATCGTGATATTTTCAGGCATCTTTCGGTTAGTCCAGGCCCTCCCAGCCTTCCTGTCACGCGTGAGCTACTGTATACGGTCTGCTGGTGGTCTCGTAGCGAAGTGTTGTGTTCTAGTGCATCCCCTACCCACTCTGAGATACTAGAGAATTATGTAGGGCATGAGGTGTTAAAAGCACAACCTTGGTACCATATGGTTGTTTTGCTCGACCGGGCTTGACAGATTATGACGAGTATAACCGCATCTTGTCGGTATGGTGTTTAGTAAATTTCCCGTTCATTGATGTGAGAAACTACTACGATCTAACAATAAAAACAATGAAACAGGGGGAGAAGAGATATAATATCTTTTTGATTACCAAGGAGCATCATCCTCTGTGGCCATCCTATGGGTATCTGAATGAGTCTCAACAAAGTCCACAATATCCTTTAAAGCAGACTTAGGACCACTCTTATCGTTATACTCATCAGTCTGATATCCATATATGAGCCCATCAATACCAGCCTCGCGCAGTAGATACTTCACCATTTCAGTATCACCTTGTGCACTAGTCCAGCTAAAGACCTTTCCAAGTTTCCCTTGGTCGCGCTTCCAACTTCCATACCGAAGCTCTGGGTAGATGTCGACCCCTTTCCTAAGCCACGAATCACCAAAATCCATAACCATCTGCGGAACTGGTATACCGCTTCCGGTGCTGTTGTACAAATGCAAAATAGTGTTCGTCTCACCACTCAACACAATCGCTTCGTTTGGGTTCAAACCGTCTCTGATCACCTTAAACCCGCGACTCTCAGCTGTTTGGAAAAAGCCATAAAGAACCCGTATACCTGCAGGTTCGAGAGTTTCTCGAGCTAGATCACGCAAGACTTCGATAGAGCAGCGTCGATGCCTTTGGCAGAAATCAGGGTTTTTGATATCCAGCCATACGAAGGAGATATTGTAATTGTTTATCCACCGTTGCTGCGCGATGAACTGGAACAGTTCGCGTGCTGTAGCGCCAGCACTGAATAGTTTTCCGTCGTGGTCTGCCCACCAGTCGAAGTACCAGGCTGTTAAATCAACTTCTAATGCATTCGCACCATGAGAAAGCGCGGCACTGACTGCTTCTTTTCGTAGGACTCGATGTGCGATAGCGTAGATCGGTCGTTGGGCTGAAGAGGCGACTCCTAAGTTGAGCAAGTCGAGTGCCAACAGGAGACGGACAAGTGGGAATATGGACTGCATTATTGAGTAGAGAAAACGAATCATGCATATAGAAAGGTCATAAATGATAAAGCCAATAGTCCTTGGTGGTTATTACGTCCAACATCTGGAAGCCTGAAGTCTCATAATCTTTCTAGCGGGAACCGTGCTGTCGATATTCCAACGTTTAGAGTAAGTCTTTCTAGTCACATTATCACCCCAGCCTCGTGAAACGGGGAGGGTCTCTCTTTGGTTGGTTGCCCGGCCATAGGCAGGTCATCCCAGGTGATCCTTGTACATTAATACTGGCACTAAGGCTAATATCGGAGGCTTCCTTGTCTCTTCCGCCGGTAGCAAGGCTAAGGCAAACCCCTCGAAATGCATAAGTGCTCCACAAGATTTCCTATTTTTAATACCTGCCGTACTAGCGTCCGATGCGTTGGCTTGTAAACTGGTTGGGTTAAATACCACTTGGGGCGTCCACATTGATCCTGGTTCTTGGCATGTTCGCGCCAATACAAGGGATCCACAGATCTATTCCGACTGTAGTAGGGCGCGAAAAGATCGTGTGTACAAGAAACAGCTCGGGCTAATCAGGATTGTAGCCGGATATCACTGCCCGTACTCGTATACAAGGTGCAAAATGTATATGAGGAAAGCATATATGAACCGGTAGTCACAATGCCCATTTTTTACCTTTTGTCTGACATGAAACACCTATTCATAGGATAAAAGACGGCTTCCTACCTTGTCCAGTAATAGTCCTTGTCCAGTAATAGTGTGCTGCGTTCAGTTGGGGATCTTGCACAGAAGGCAGAGGCTCTGGCCACTCCTGTTATAACAGCTATCAGTCTACCTTATTGAAATAAAACCTTTACAAACTACCGATTCTAAGCATAAATTGACTTTAAACTAGGTGTGTTAGATAGATTTCCCTTGCTCCTACGCTACCTCGTCCGCCCGGAGTGTCGGGTGAAATCGCCTATATTGATATATATGGTCTTATTCAGCTCCTTTGAAATACTAACAACGTGATTCACGGCCGCAGGGGAGAGCTCCTGAATCATTCTGCTAGGGCTCCATAGTATCGAGTATCTATACTCTATAGGGCAACCGCTGTTATTCAGCCTCTATTCAGAGCTCGGAGATACCAACCTTATAATGCATTTCTCCTGAAATCACTACTTCTGAACATTTCCTCTTACCGAAACACCTTGGAAATCTACCTACCTATCTAAATAGCCTCCCGATTCACATTTCCACTGCTGTCTTACCTTTTGTATAAATAAATACATATACTATATTTATGACATGTCCGGTACACTGACCTTATAAGCGGCAGGTATAGGACCAGGTCAGGGTCCTTGGCAGGCCTATACCACGAAATGCCGATGGATCTATTGATGACGCTTTCGTGGACACTTTAGTGCAAGTTGCGAATGATGCCTCCCTATCACCCACCGAGCGCCGCGGCTGCGGTTTGCTCTCTAAAATATCTAGCTGCTAACTTAGCCTCATCAAGTGACTTTTCGCCTCCGGTGGGAAAAGGGGAAGCGGCTACTATAATCCTCGCTTTCTAAGACCCCTTCCCACATCCTCAATGTACAGACGCATATTAATGACACAATTGTCAAATAACTCGCAAATAAGATATAATTAATTTATATGACGCACTTCCTGCCTTTTGGCGAGCAGAGAACAACCTCATCGTATAATTTGACTTTCATAACTAAAAGAGCTAATAAATAGCCTTTGAAAGATCGACATTGATCAGATATTTATATTGCATTCAGCAGTGGCAATAAGACAAGTTTTAAATTATTTTTGTTTATATTAAATTCAATTCGCTGGGTAAGGAATGAATTCTTGATCGATGCTAAATTCCCAGCTCTAGTGTTTAGAGGTAATAAACTCGGCATTAAACCTTCGTCCTTCCACTCACATTTGCAGTTGATAGGCTTACATACAATTGGAGAGCCATTGGCCAGGTGATCCAAAGTGCCTGCAGATCCTTTATAATGCAAAAGGAATAAGGTTGAGTAGATCCCTAGCTATCGGCCCTAGATAACTCCGGCTCTGTAGGATTGGAAGCCCTTGTACACCATGTCAGACTAGGAAGCAGACCAAAAGGGAGCAATGGCCCTAGAAGGCTCGCATCATGAGGGCATCTAGCTAGTGCTTTGGACACGGTGTCGAACAATGGGATGCCTTTTCTGTCCACGGGGCTAAAATTTATATATTTACAAAAAATGTACATGTATTATCGACTGGTTGTTGGCCACATCAGCTGCAGACTTCGTCTGGATATGACAAACTAAACGGTTCCAAAGTAGATAAAATCGGGGTTCCATCCGTGTACCTGATTGAAAAAGTCCCCTGGTTGTCAAGCAATGCCGATCACCTTCGGGGCGTATCGCGAAGATGCCCCCTGGGTCATGCTGGCTGTTCCTTGAACATCTTCGAAAAGATAAGAAGAAAACATTGTGAAGGACTCAGCTGTTTTGGGCAGCCAAGAGATCTGATTATGTTATTATGGATGACAGATGAAAAGTCAAGGTTGTGGACATTGAAACAATCCTCGATATACCACCCTTAGTCAGTGCTGGGGATCTCAACAATCGTTGAGGGTTTAGGCCGTCTAGTCTCGTCCCCTTATGCAAGATAAATCTTGTAACAAGAGATAAGAGTGATGTGCAGATGGCAGAGACTCTGTCAGCTCCTGCTATAGTATATATCAATTTAAATTCTTGGAACAAAGCCTTTGAAAAGCTGGGGATTCTGGAAAGCATTGATTCTAACAGCAATCTGCATTGTCATGGTAACCGTTACATTCACAAAGATCGAGTGGCTAATTAGAGGGCCTTAAAAAGTCAATAGACACCTAATGACGTTTATGCGGTCGATGTAACGGTCTGAACAATGGATTGTCAAATGTTGGAGACCGGAATGTGCTCTGCTATTATGGGGAGATGCGGGTGGCGCCGGATTCTTTTTCCAATCACTTCATGCACGGGGAAGTCCGAAGTTGACCTTCCCTTGGTGTTGGATCTATAGCCTAGAGCTGTCTTAGGTTGACCAACACTCCACAGACCTATTCAATGTCATGATGCGCTCATTGCGGGAACATTCAGCGCTGTAAAGGTTCGTTCGAAATTGAGTTGATTGATGGTATACGGGGTGGTCCTTGCCACCATAGTAGGACTCATCTCCTGCAACGTTAGAGTCATGGGATTAGTAGTCGCATCGGGAAATTCGGTACCACGCTATGAAGTATCCATAAAGTATGAGAATGAGTTTCTAGTCAAATCTAGATTGAGTAAAACTGGTACGTCTCCGTGGGAAAAGGTCATGTAACAATGAAACAAGTACTGCTGTGGTTTATACATCCATTGGGGGTCGGTGAGCCGGATATGCGCGCTTTAGTCAAGCGAGGGTGAAAATTGATCAAGACCAAATATGCCTTACAGGTACACGACATCTAATGGCTACGTGGGCAGCTACCAAGATCAAACTACCGCGCGGACTCATTGTTACATCCACATGGTTTGCCACGATCTCGTTGGCGGCTAAGTGACAACACCATACACAAGCATGACGCAGCAGCCAAGTTCTTGAACTATTCTTCATCTTTGAATGAGGGGACTTTCGTGTGTTTCATGGTTTGCAGTATGGCCAAGCCAGTCTAGAAGAAACCTTGCCAGAAGCACAACCACTTTCTTCTAGCATACGTTCGATTGTCGTTTTAGACACTAGAACAGATGTAGCTATGAATCATGAATCATCTGATGAGAGCTATGCGGGTCGGATCTTATCATCCATGGGTCGGCGAGCGATATCTTAGCAGCTGTGCCGTTCGTTCGGCTGAAGCCGAGGGGATGGTATTTCCGCATCCGGCGAGAGCTGGGCTCGGGTTCGTATTTTCAAGCCCCGATCCATGGATCAGTCTCGCTTGTTAAACGCTAGCCGAGATCAATCCAGTAAGGCAAAATCAATTGTCCTCAACTCTATAGAGCACAGAAAAATGTATATAAAGCAGGTGAAAGCTATGTCCAAAATCCCCAAGAACCAACCAGCATCTTCCTCTATATTCCAATTCTATATATTTTACATCTTGCTCTCCACCTGCTACTCCCAAAATGCGGTTCATTCCATTGGCTTTGGGCTTTATGGCCACCACCTCTACAGTCTTTGCTGGACCTCCTAACGTCCAAACCGTGAGTGTTCAGCTCAGTAACGATCAATCTGGGGCCAATGCCAACGTTGATGTACCCACCGACGGCAATCGACGCTCCGTCCAGGCTCTCTGGGGCCATACCTCTGTGTCCACGAATGGCGTTGTGACTGCTACGAGCGCCCAGCTCACTCGGTTCCAGCAGTCGACCCACTGCGAAATTACTCAACAGCCCAATGTCGATGCCAAGCTCGATGCACAGCGCACCTGGGTTTCCCTGGATCAGGGAAAGTTGGTTCAGCTCGGTCGAGCATCCATTGTCTGCAGCGACAAGTAGTTGACAACCATTGGAAGGTGAACTACGATGTCCGCCAGTTATTGGCAAAGTTTATGGAAGACTATATTGACGATCGAAACTGTGGCTTATCCTGGGTGCTCATCTAATGCTGTACCTATCGGAGCACCCATACTCATATTATGTATCACTCCTTTAATGTATTTATTGTCATTTATACATATTCAAATAGTAGTTCGAAAATCCAGACAAAACATGTTATTATATTATCAATTTCATGATCATAAATTCAGAAGCCAGTTCACTTCCTCTGTGAATGTGCACCTAAGCATATCTATGCCATATCTGCAGCTCATCTTGGGAAGCATCGGGCCTGCATAGGACACTATATACCATCAAGTATACTATGTGTAGCTGCTACCTGGTTAAGCAACAGGCAGCAGCGCCCACCATTATGTGTGAAATCAAGTCTGACTACAATTTAGGGGGATGCGGAGGTAAATCTAAGCACCCTCTCGACTTCCATCACACAATTTTTAATGTCGACCAGTGATAATGTTTTATTTTTAAATCCTAAAACTCAACTTTAGTTTTCGACGTGCACTTTGGGTATGTTTAAACCAGATTTCTGATTGCTAATTCAGCATTTGCTCTTGGGAATACACAGGCCATCCTATAATGTCAGGGGAGACTAGTTAGGGCTCTCTGACATGTATCTTTTGTCAATTACCACTTACTACTTTACTGAGCACAAAGCCATCTATACACTGACAGCCCTGAACACATTGCATTGTACAAATTTCGTTAGACTGGGAGTTGCAAGTAGGAGGACACGCAGTACCACAGTCCTTCCATTGTTGGTTCTATAACAGTTAAAAACTAGAGTTAATACTTGAATCCGTGATTGATTTGTCACTGTAGAGTGAAACTCACCTCAGGGCATGATTCTTTGGCGTAAACAGCCGAAGCTGCCGCGAGAAGGAATGCAAGGACTGTTGGCTTGAATTGCATCTTATTATCTGTTAAGGTTATTATAAACATTTTTTCAATCAATACACAGGAGGTTTATTATTGTCATACCAGAAATATCGCCTTTCTTTTATTAAAAAAAA